ATCTTGCCCCCCCGGCCGGGCCGCTAGCACCGGAAGCGGAAGTGGGCCCCCTCCGCCCGCCATCTTGGGGAGGTCGGCGCTGGACGAGGAGGAGGAGGAGGAAGAGAAGGAGGAGGAGGAGCCGGCGGGGAGGCTGATGGGCGTTCTCCCTCTCGGTTTGGACGGCGGGGAAGGGCGGCCCCCGGTGGCCGGCCCAGCGTGGTGTCAGGTCGGAGACCGCTTTTTTGTTGTTGTTGTCCAGCGTGGGAGCATGGGGACCAGAGGGAGAGAAAAGGGGTGTATGCCAAAGGAGAAGGCTCACACACACACACACACACACACACACACACACACATTTTAAAATAAAACCTTGGCTTTTTATCTTTATTTCTGGGTAGGTAAAAATAGTTGAGAAATGAGCCGAAGCCGGTTTGGCTCAGCGGTAAAGCGTCGGTCTGCGGACTGAAAGGTCCCAGGTTCGATTCCGCTTAGGGGCATGTACATTGGTTGCGGGCACATCCCCGGTAGGGGGTGTGCAAGAGGCAGCTGATGGATGTTTCTAGCTCTCTATCTCTCTCCCTTCCTCTGTAAAAAATCAATAAAATATATATATTTTTTAAAAATAAATAAATAAAAATAGTTGAGAAATGAAAGGTATGCCTTCAAAGCACCTAAAGGGGAGAGATGTCTTATGCTTTTCATGTTAACTTTCCTTTTTTATTGGTTTATTCATTTTTATTTATTTCAGAGAGGAAGGGAGAAGAGAGAGAAACCTCAATGATGAGAGAGAATTGTTGATGGGCTGCCTCCTGCGCACCCCCCACTGGGGATGTGCCCACCACCAATGCACATGCCCTTGACCCGAATCCAACTGGAGGCCCTTTAGTCCGCAGGCCGACGCTCTATCCACTGAGCCAAACCGGTTTCGGCTAGTTTGTGCTTTTTTTTAAAAAAAATCTTAACCATTATTTATAGCATGATAATTTTTAGTTTGTCCTCATAGGAATACCATTCCCTTATTTATTCCTCTCTGTTCCTTTTCGACTTAGTGTATTCTTGAATGCAAACTAGAACAGTATGTAGTATTTTACCTAGGCTTTGTCTCAGATCTTATTTCTAATATCACCCTATGATAACCAGATTTTCTTATTTGTGGTAACATTAGTTTCAGGGAATGAACATACAACTTTAAGAGTAAATATCCAGTTTCTTAGTTTGTTTTTTTTAGAAATTAGATTTGTTTCCATTATACTTGCTAAAATTAAACCTCACTTTCTGTTTCCTACTCATCCAGAATTAATTTGAATTCTCCCTATAGTTTCTAAAATGGGGGAAGGGTAGTAAGTTGAGGGAACACACAGGACAATGGTTAACTCTAACCCTAACCCTAACCTGAAGGATCAACCAAATAACCAGATGAAGACTTAGTAGATGAGGAATTTAGGAGTTCTGGGGTGGAGACTAGGAGCCTACAAGCTTTGAGCAACCCTTTTTAGCACAGTCTGGCATTTTCTTTTTAAAAATATATTTTATTGTTTTTCCACAGAGAGGAAGGAAGAGGGATAGAGAGCTAGAAACATCAATGAAAGGGAAACATCAACCAGCTGCCTCCTGCTCACCTCCACTGGGGATGTGCCCACAACCAATGTACATGCCCTTGACCGGAATCGAACCTGGGACCTTTCAGTCCGCTGACCGATCCTCTATCCACTGAGCCAAACCGGTTTTGGCAAGTCTGGCATTCTTAAAGCCAGGTGTTCGGTAGGTTTTGCTACCTCCAAGTCAAACGTTTTTCCTTGAAATCTTTATTAGGTTGGTTCCAATAACCATCCAGATCTCTGTTCAAACAGAAGCTTTTTCTAATCATTGCCTATGCTAGCTCTCTCATACACAATCCCAACAGAATGCTTCAGTGTCCTTGTAAAGTCTCATTAGGCTCTGCATAACGAACTCCATGAGTTTGCTTGACTTGTTCACCACTTATATATCCAGAGCCCAAAACACTACCTTTGACTTATTGAAAACTTACTGTCCTTAGAGGCTTAAGCAACATGCAAAAATCTTTACTTTGTGGCATTTTAGCCACATTGTAGTCTTATCAGGGGGAGACAGAGAGTAAGCAACATATAAGCAAATTATGTGCTCCAGGAAACATATGGTAGTGTAAGTGGGATCTGGAGTCTTGGCAGGATAGGAAGGGGCATTGCAATATGAAATGATTCCTTGACGTGATCTTGGAGGATTTGAAGGAAATGGAGTGGGCAAGCAGACATAAGGAAGTGTGGCTGGAGGAGAGCAGCTAGTGCAGATTCTAAAGCAGGAATGTGTTTGCCTAGCCTGCATGTAGCCAACTGACTTGAGCAGTGTGATGGAGGGGAAGAGCAGCAGCTGGGGTCAGAAATTAAAGCCACAGCATTGCTTTTGATTTTTATTCCGCAGTGAGGAGACAATGAACGGCTTCAAGTAAAGGAGTACATGTCTCTTTGCTACTGCGTTTAGAGCAGGCTAGAGAGTCGTGTACTAGCAGGAAGATCAGGTTATTGTGAAACTATTAAATAAGAAATGGTCACAAATTTGGCCGTCCACAGCACATAGATGCTTTTAAAGCCACAGATTGTGACCACCAACGGAACTTATCTTGTCCTGATGCATTTAAACTTTGGCTTTCGAACATTTCTAACCTTTGATACTTCTTCAGGAAGACTTTTTTAAAAATCAAGGCTGGTGGTCAAATTAAGAAGTTCCACCTTGTTTTTGAATATTAACTTGAGGATGGAAATATTTCATGCTTTGATTAGAGCCAAAACCTTTTTTTTCAGAAGAGTAATTTAGCTTCTAAAAATATCTCCAAAAGAATGAAAATTAAAAATAACTTGTAAGACTGAACTTCTTGAAGGCAGAGCAGTAGTTTGTCTATCTTTGTATTTTCATGGTATAAGATACACTGCTTGGCACATGAAAAGCAATCAATAAATGTTTAATGAATATCCAAGAATCTGAAGTTATCATAATCATAACACATCAAGACACAAAACAAAATTACAAAAGGAAATTTATTTCAAAAGCATAAGGAAACATTTACTTTTGAACAATGTGATAAACAGATGTCTTGCAAAAGAAAAACAATCATGACATGAAGTTTTTCATTCAAATTTTTGAAGCAAAAGTAACCTAAATTGTGCATTATTGCCTTAGGAAAGGGAAGGGGAACAATGAGGTGGCAAAGGAAGAAACACAGTCAACTCAATATCAAACTTAAAAGTAGAGTCAATTCTGCTCAGCTTTGAGTTTTACAAATATTCTTAAAAAAAAAAAAAAAAAAAGGAAAAGTTTTTACACTTAATTTCAAATTTATATAACTATAGTCCTAATACAGTTCCTATACTTGAAATGGCATTCGGCCAACAGCTCACAGTTTTCAAATAGCAATTCCATATTCCTATGTCTGTTCAGATTCCAAGGGAGTTCAGGTTCAGCTCATTGTCTTTTGGAATGTTTAGATTATTGCCACCACTCCATAATCAAGCTGACCAATTTCTTATGCTCACTTGTGTAATTCTAGTCTTTAAAAAATATTTATCCCATAAACATGTGCAGTAATTCTAACAAAGGGGTTTTGTTTTTCCCCCACTGTAAGGATTAACAGTAATGAAGACACTGCCATTGGAATTACTAACTATTCCTCAAAAAATATGCCAAACTACTAGAAAATGTTATTCAGACATTGGATTTGAGTAGCAAACTTGGGGAGGGAATATTAACTGTGAAACAAAAATATATGAAACATTCAAATGCAGAGCAAAGGACCTATGCTACTAAAAATGCCCATGACATTAAACACTCCACAACCCCCCCATCTGTTTTTTAACCTAAAGGTTCTATTGGCTAACTTATACAATAATTTTGATTAATAACCTGAGAAGTTAAAATCTTCAAAGTGGCAAAAGCAAACAGAGAGTATCCCTTATTATTGGTAGAACATGTTATCAAGTCACTTTTCCTGGATTGCCCTGGTTATTCAATTCCCAAAGTCTAAATTATTCTATGTCATCCTGTAGAAACCTATATGTACATCAGATTCAGTATTTTGGCTGTATTTCCCCAAAAGAGATAGCCAAACTCATCTTTGAAAACGCAGCCTTTGTTTATTTTCAGTTTTAAATAACAATAATCATGTAAGTGCAACGGACTCAAAATCCCTCACTACTGGGAAGAAAACCTAGATAACAAGTTAATAATGGATTCAGCCTCAAAAGGGTAATCACCATGTCAAAGATTACCTGTTGCTGGAATTTAAAAAAGTGATTTATGTTGTGTAGTCAGCATGCATACATATATATATATACACACACACACATATCTTATGTATGTATGTATATTATACATACATATTTCTATTCAAATAGTAGGATCCCATTCATAAGCTTATCATCACAACATATGGAGAAGAGTTAAGTAAGCAGTGCAAAGCAGCTTACATTCTCCTAAAAATGTAATACTTCTACATTTAAGTATTTTGCTCTTAGTACACTAGGTAGGAATGCTGAACCATTGCCTAGCAGCTTTATAAAAAAATACAATGAAAACCAAATGTTAAAATTGACCATTACTCTTCTCTATACATTGGGTGGGGGAAAGGACAGAGGGGAGAAGAAAATCAGTAAGCTTTCAAAACTGATAATCTTTACCAGTTGTCAGAAATAGAATTTCATATATTTTAGATTTAAATTTAGCTCTCAACAAATTAAGATGTTTAAAAGATTCACAATATGAAGTCTGAATAATGATGATATTGCAAAAACAAGACTGCGCACAAAGCATCCAAAAATATCGCTGTGGTTTTACCTTGGACACAACCATGGTCTGTTACAAAAGTAGATCGTACATACAAAGGTATAAAGAACAGTAAGTTTTTAGCGGAAGGCAGCAGTCCTTTTTCATGGACATCCCCGGCAATCCAATGAGTAGTAGAATTTAAGTATAGTAAGCACATGACGATGCTGAAGAATGTGATGTCTTATTCAGTAGAGTCTTCCTCGACTTCGATTTCCTCGTGCTCCCCAACCTCGGCCACCTCTACTTCCCCTGAAGGCTCCTCTCTGCTCTACGAAAAAGCGAACAAGGGTTTAGGTCTTGCTCAGGACTTCATGGTACAACAAATAGAGCTGTGCTCTGAAGAAAGCAGTAGGCACTATAAAAGCAGCAGTTATTCTACACCATCCACAGACTCATTCTGTATAGGACATACATATCAAAGAACGTATAACAAGGTGCAAAATATAGTCATAGTTGGTACTCAATTAAATGTACTCCATTAACAAAGATGTTTCAAGGTCACAATGTTATGATAACTATTCTTTATTTCAATGCCTATCACTATCACAGATAATTAATGAAACTACGAAAATTTCTATACTTAATATGAAATTAACAAAAAAGCCACTGGCTTTCAAAAGTTGGTGACATAAATGCAAAATATTTTAAACTATCAATGATTAATTATAAAATATTGGGCTAGACTGACACAATTTTCCTTTCAAATGCAATAGAAAGGCAATTTGTTTTTGGTCATCATATTTCAAGCACCAAAACTCAAGAAAAATATAGATATAAATGCTGACAGCTTTTCTCCCTGCTTTATCAGCTAAGAGCTGCTCAGAGATGCTGCCAAAAAGTGATGATGCATATACATATGATATTTGGGTTACTGATTATAAATTAAGCACATTTTTTGCTGAAAAATCAAGTCATGTGTATCATATGGTAGAATAAGATGTTGACTCACTAGGCAGTCTCTTTTATAGCTCCAGAGACATATTCCTGAGGAGTCTTTCCAATAAAGAAAATTGACTTGAAGTTATCAGCAAGCCTGGACTTTCATCATAAGTAAAGAGTCTCAAATTTTGAACTTTCAAACTTCCTCATTGCAGCTTCAAGTAAAGGAGTACATGTCTCTTTGCTGTGTTTAGAGCAGGCTAGAGAGTCGTGTACTAGCAGGAAGATCAGGTTATTGTGAAACTCTTAAATAAGAAATGATGGACACAAATTTGGCAGTCCACAGTCAAATAGGTGCTTTTAAAGCCACAGGATGTGACCACCAAGGGAACTTCTCCTGTCCTGGTGCATTTCAACTTTTGGCTTTAGAACATTTCTAACCTCTGATACTACTTCAGAAAGGTTTTTTTTTTTTTAAATCAAGGCTGGTAGTCAAATTAAGAAGTTCCCACTTGTATATAACTGATAATGAAAATCAAGTACAACACAATTTATGTCTTATCTCTCATAATGCTTATACCCAAACGGAAACGCTCACCATAATTAAAGTTGCCCAGATTGCTGCTATATTTCCCGCTAGGAGGATTATAAATCTGCCTTGCATCTCTTTTTGGTCCTGCTGGAGATTTCTTGGGTGGTGAACCAGAAGTTGTATCTTCATTGGCTCTCTTCTGCCTATAACAGTAAAAAGAATAGCAATAAAAAAAATTGCATTAAACCAGAGGCACTTATAAGTTAGCATAGGCACTTTATCATAGTCACACTAGAATAAAGGAGTAACATTCTGATGTCATCAAACTAACTGTGCCTTATTTATGCAGACATTATAAAAAAAGACAAGGCTTTAAAATAATCTAAAATACGTAGCTTCAAAGACTATATGCAAGTGATTCATCTTGTAAAACTTGTCAGAAAGTCTAGTTATGCCACATGAGTACAAATAGGCTGAAAAATCTTGGGCTGTATTCCACCAGTTTATTTTTATAAGTACTGGAATTAGATTTTATATTTTAAGTCATACTTCTAATAGTCATATTTTAACATCTTATTAAGAATCATTTAGCCGGGACCGGTTTGGCTCAGTGGATAGAGCGGTGGCCTGCAGACTGAAAGGTCCTGGGTTCGATTCCGGTCAAGGGCATGTACCTTGGTTGTGGGCGCATCCCAGGAGGGGGTGTGCAAGAGGCAGCTGATCAATGATTCTCTCTCATCGATGTTTCTAACTCTCTATCCCTCTCTCTTCCTCTGTGAAAAATCAATAAAATATATTTAAAAAAATCATTTAATAATGTACATTTCATACAGTAAATTTAACATCTGAATTCAGATTTTTATATTTGTAAGTCGTAAGTATTAAAACACTTAAATTCTTTTTAAATATAATTCTTACCCAATTTCAACTTTCTGTACAGGTTTCCAGGATAATGTTACTGTGCTCTTATAAGAGGGAGGAATGTGAAAGAGATCCTGAAGAGACAAAATTAGACAAGATTTCTATGTATTTGATTGGTGAGTAGTGTGATTGGGTGGTAAGGGAAAGAAACAGAAAGACATCTTAAAGATTAATTTTAGGAAAGGAAGCTCCAATTTATCTTTCTTGTTCTTGTGCTGGTGATTAAGGTCCTAAAAAATGCTGCAAGAACCAAACTAAACAAGGACAATTTTGTTAAAAGTAACATCCCTACTACTGTTTTGCTGGTGCTGCTCAGTGGTTGAGCGTCGACCTATGAACCAGGTGGTCATGTTTGGATTCCAGGTCAGGGCACATGCCCAGGGTTGTGGGCTTGATCCCCTGTGTCGTGCATGCAGGAGACAGTCAATCAATGACATCACTGATGTTTCTCTCTTTCTCTCCCCTCCCTCTTCCTTCCTCTCTGAAGTCAATAAGAAAAGTATATATTAAAAATAATTTTTTTAAAAGATATACCTATTATTATTAATCCCTTGTTGTGCACAATATTTAAGAAACTGAAGCTAAGTTTTTTCTAAATGTTTCAGGATAAAATATCAATAACAAGTATTTCTCTTGCATATTTTTAAGTAGTTCAAAAGTAGAACACTACTTTTGTAACAAGCTTGGGAGGATTGGGTAAGAAAGGAATACTTATTACCTTGATTAAAACATTGATGTTATTTGTTATTTTCAATGCAACAACTTTAATCTTGTTCTGCAAAAAGAAAAAAAACATAATGCTAATAACTTTTACAATGCATATTCTATTACACTACTCTTTCAGAATCATTATTCATATATATATACACACACACACACACACACACACACACACACACACACACCACTATAAACCAGTGCAGAGATGGCAAAGAAAGCAAATAATTAAAGTGTTATCTACAATCTACCTGAAAAAATGAATAAGGGACAGGTCATATGCACATAGGAATTATTTAAAAAATAATCAGTTTAAAAAACACACATCAGCCGAAACCGGTTTGGCTCAGTGGCAGAGCGTTGGTCTGCGGACTGAAAGGTCCCAGGTTTGATTCCGGTCAAGGGCATGAATATCGGTTGCGGGCACATCCCTGTAGGGGGTGTGCAAGAGGCAGCTGGTTGATGTTTCTCTGTCATCGACGTTTCTAACTCTCTTATCTCTCTCCCTTCCTCCTCTCTGTAAAATATCAATAAAATATATTAAAAAAACACACAAAAAAACAAAACACCAAACACACACACACATCAGTTTAGCCTGGCAGGTGAGGCTTAATAGTTTAGCATCGACCTGTGAACCACAAGGCCACGTATCTACTCCTGGTCAGGGCACATGCCCAGGTTGAGGGCTTGTTCCCCAGGGGGATATACAGCATGCATCTGATTAATGATTTTCATTACTGACTTTTCTATCTCTCTCTCTCCTTTCCCTTTCTCTGTGAAATCAATAAAATATATATTTAAGAAAACAATCAGTTTAAGTTAAAGACAGACATGATGAAAACTTAAAATATTTCATAGGATTGGGATGAAGAGTGATCAAAATAGATGAAACCAGGGAACCAAATATCCCAACACAAACAAACATAGTTTGGTATAGAATTTGCAATTTAATGTTTTTCTTAATATTTTTCCTCAATTTAACATTTGGGTTTCAAAAAGGTGAAATTAAAAATATGACAACCACCAATCAAATATTTAAACAACACTAGTATGTGCTGTTCATGGGACCCTAGTGAAAGATTGGTATGTATCTAAGTTTGGTAACATTTTCCACAAACATTGGAAACATTCAAGATATTGCAATGATGACAAAAATACAACTTATCAAATAACTAAATATGTAGACAAACTTCTAACATCATATATCACAACACAGACTTATAGCACTATTTCAAATAAAGTCGCATATTACATTTCAATGTATGAACTCAGTCTTAATTGGTAATAAATGGTGGCTATTATAAAAATTTATTTGAAATGGGTCCCAGTATTCTTACCTCATCTGTTTTTAAGGCCTCGCCTGTTTTGCCCTGGAGAGCCAACCGAAGTTGTCTAATATAAACCTGCAGGCCCCGTGCAAAGTACTGCAGCCTAAAGGAAGTAGTATTTGTTAATTAGCAAATTACCACTTCAACTTTGTTTTCCCACTTCAACTTAGACAAAGGATACCTAAAAAACACAAACTGTATTTATACTGCCTTCTCAGTATATTTCTGACTTCAACTAGTCATTTCTAGTTGAAGACACTTCGGAGCAGAGTAGTAACTCCTCTTAGCATGATCCAGCCCATTTGTTTTCCTGTCTGTTTTAGAATGAGTACCTTCTGTATCATCTAATATGAGGTTCATATACACATCATAAACAATAGAACCCTCTATCCGAGTATTCTCTTGCTCATAAAGTCACACCTGAATCAGAGATCTATTCTGCAAATATGTGAAGATGAGGCTGATGGGCTGCACCATCACCTGCAGTTTTTGGCCCTGGCCACAGTACACCATGTTGGAAGCTGACAAAACCATACTAACCTGCTAGAGTAACTTAAGTTGCCTGCTTCTGATCAAATGTTTCATATTAAACCTCTGCTTTACCAAAGAGTAGAGGACAGTGACAGATACATTTCATATTTTAAGATGTAACGTTGTTAATTTGGGGTGTTAGATTAGGGAACCTGCCCAAATCATAAAACAAGTGGGGAGAACCAGAGTCCATTTTTGGGAAAAGTTCTTTCTCCCCCACATATGACAGATGTTATGTTTGCACCCATTTCTCTTTTGTGGCTCTCCTATTTTGTCCCAGTGGAGTAAGGCAGGGATGGAAGACAGCTCTTGTAAAAATGAAAATAAAACCCAGGGAGCATCAGATAACCATTATCTTTGCCAACGATTGGACTACTTCAATCATACATTACCTAATTTTAAAATCTTTGAGCTTTTCTGCATTCAGTTTGGCTGTTAAGAAATCTGGAAGTTTTCGGCCCAACTGGTGGAAGCTGTACAACAAACATTCCACATAACTGAATTGCAGCTTAGGTTCTTCATTACCAGCATTCTCCCCATTTTCTGCTTCTTCTGGAGGGAGAGGCATGTACTCCTAAGAGATGAAAATACAGAGATATTTGCAATCTGTTCTAAATAATTATGAACATATATTAAACTAATTGCAGGGCATGCTTTTACAGTAAGGCATGAAGCATTAAAACATACGAAGATTAGAAATTTAAGATATCTCTTTTAGACCTAATGTATCAATGATATACAATGTCAATTCTCCACATGTTATAGCTGCTACTAATACTAATAATGACAATTCAAGTAGCTAACATTAGGCACTCAATGTAGGTGGAATTCTGAAAGTGTAGTTATCTTTCCTATAGTGAAAAAGTTAGTCAATCTATGTTCAACCTCTTAAGTTGATGATCTTCACCTACTAAATTATGCTAATTCCAAAAATCTTCTTTGAATATTAGTCCATATTCTCTAAGTATTGACTCTTTTTTCATTCAAAGTACCACCAAAGGCATTTGTTATCAGTACTCTAGCACCCTAGAGGTATTATAGATACTGGATGACTCCATTCACACTGTGGACCTAATACTTATTACTACTTCATAACTGCTCACACTCAATAAAATATTTTGGTGATTCTGATGATTTTATCAGTTGGCCCATTTTCTCCACAATTATGGCTTAAATTTGACTTTATTTCCTAGTTGCTAAACCTACCAGGCCTTAGGCAGCAACCTGAATGGTGGAATATTTTGATAAAGGGCTAGCAGAAGGTCCTACTATATAAATCCTGTATTATACTTTATGCAAAGCATCAACAGAAAAAATGCCAAAGATTAAAAATATATATATTTTTAAAAGTAGAAAACATGTGGCCTGAGCAGCTAACAGCACTTGCTAGTGTTGTCTAATACTGTAACTTCAAAATCTGGCTCTCCATAATCTAGAAATTAATACTATACTATTATACCAGGGGCTATATAATTTTCCTGGGGGAGGGATTTCTTACCAATAACTTATCAAACAGTTTCCTTAAATTTGTTTCTAGCTTTTCCATGTCACCACAAAATGAACTCATTTCCGCCAACAGTTTCAATACCTAAAATACAAATACACAATTCACTGTTATTAGTATTATTTTCTTGAATGAGCAAGAACTATAAGAATGATTCTAAATTTTCAACAATCAAATATAACAAGGAAAATAATATACATGATATTTTCTGCTACAGGTTAATAAATGATAGTGATAAATACAATGTAAAAATGACAAATACATTAACTAAATTGACAATTTGTAGAAAAAAACTGAGTAAGTACTCTTAAGAGCAAATAACATTTTTTAAAAAATCCTCACCCAAGGATATTTTTCCATTTTTAGAGAGAGTGGGAGAGAGAGGGAAAGACAGAGAAATACCGATGTCAGAGAAACATCAATTGGTTGCTTCCTGCATGAGCCCTGACCCCCCCAGTCCGTGATCGAGATATATGCCCTTGACTGGAATCAAACCCGGGGACCCTTTGGTCCGCAGACTGATGCTCTTATAGTTTCAAAACATATAATATAGAACTGAAATGCATAAATATGTCACAATATATATTTATATACTGTATTTGAGGCCCCGAGAACCATAAGAAATGCAAAAAATTCACTGTTAATAACCATCTTAAATTGCCTCCCCTCCCCTTAAAAATCAAATTGCCCTCCTGTGGGGTGTGTGCCTCACACATTGGGAACCACTTGGCTAGGGCTTAGCAGCAAATAACTATTTACCAACACTCAGAGAGGGCCTCATTTGCTATTAAAATTTAGTCTCTAATATTTGCCACTATTCTTGAGGCCCATCTTTGCTTTACTCAATCCAGTCTAATAAGCCAATCGAAGAACATTTGAAGCAAACTACAGTGTACAGTGAGTCTTCACTACCCCAAAGACCTATGAGGGAAATACATTTCCATATTTCAGTTTGATTCAACAATCAAGTGCCTTTCAGAATCAGGCACTAGATTCTGGGGACACGGAGATGAATATGATTAAAAGTATTAAGGATGAATATGATTAAAAGTATTAAGGCTACAGGGGGTCGTTCCAAGATGGCTGACAGGTAAACACCTAGCCACAGCCGCACACAACAATTTCAATAAAATACAACTAAAATATAAAATGGACATTACCCAGAACTACAGGAAAGTCGACTGACTGGAAATTCTACAACGAGAAGCAAGGAGAAAGCCAGAAGGAAGCGCGGAGGAGCTGTAAAAGCCCAAGGTACGGAGATGCAGCGCGCAGAGAGGATGGAGCCGGAGAGGAGGGCGGCCGAGTGCCTGGCGGGCGTTCCCTAGCGGGAAGGAGATAAAACTCCGACTGTGCTGGGCCCCATTCTGACTGCTCTGAACCCCAGGCCTAGGCCAGACCCCGGGGACCCAGGCTCACACAGAGGGAGCTGGGCTGTAAGGCGGAACCGGGGAAGCGGGGAAAGGGGGTCCCGGCTGCGCACACGGTGCGCGCAGAGAAGGGACGGCCGGCTGTGCCACGGGATTGCCCTGGCGGGAAGGAGACAGGGGCTCCAGTCTGCTCTGAACGTCACCTCCAACTCCACTTCCAACTGAACTGAACCCCAATACCGGGCTCATTGGGGGAGAGCATAGACTGTTTGGCAGCAGGCGAAAATTGAGGACACCTTTCTCTCAGAGGCGCTTGAAACGAGTACTGAAGGACCCGCATAGGGCGGGGCTGACGGAAGCCAAAGCTGCAGGCTCCACCCTGAAACTCCGCCCCATCCAAGCAGAACACAGAGACTTTTAAGGCTACCAACTCAGGAAAGCTGCAAAAATGCCGAGAATAGATCAAAAACGGAAGAAATGGAAGACAAAAGCGACTGGATATAGAGTTCAAATCTACGCTTATAAGGTTTTTCAAGAATTTCCTAGAAAAGATGGATAAGACCTATGAGGATATGAAAAGGGATCAACTAGAATTAATAAGGAATCAACAAGAAATGATAAGAGATCAACAAGAAATGATAAGGGATCAATAAGAAATAAAGAATACATTGTCTGAAATAAAAAATATTATACAGAGTCCTAAAAACAGAATGGAAGATCACAAGAATCAAGTCAAAGAGTTGGAACATAAAGAGCCAGAAGACACTCCTCCGCAGAAGCTAAAAGGCAAGAGAATCCAGAAAATTGAAGATAATGTAAGAAACCTCTGGGAAAACTTCAAGCGAACCAACATCAGAATTATGGGGGTCCCAGAAGATGAGAGAGAGCAAGATATCGATAACATACTGAAAGAAATAGTGACAGAAAACTTCCCCCACCTGGTGAAAGAATTAGACTTATAAGTCCAAGAAGTGCACAGAACTCCAAACAAAACGAATCCAAAGAGGACCGCACCAAGACAATCATAATTAAAATTCCAAGAGCAAAAGACAAAGAGAGAATATTAAAAGAAGCAAGAGCAAAGAAGGTAGTTACCTATAAAGGAGCACCTATACAATTGTCAGTTGATTTCTCAACAGAAACCATGCAGGCCAGATGGGAATGGCAAGAAATATTCAAGGTGATGAATAGTAAGAACCTACAGCCAAAGATAATCTATCCAGCAAAGCTATCACTCAGAATCGAAGGTCAGATAAAGAGCTTCACTATTAAATAAAGACTAAAGGAGTTCATCACCACCAAACCAGAATTATATGAATTGCTGAAGGGGTTCTTTCGGAAGAGAAAGTAAATAAAGATAAAGATTATGAACAACAAATACGTAACTATCAACAAGTGAATCTAAAAACCAAGGGAATTAAAAAACAAAACTGATGAACAATATTAACTGTTGAATATAATAGAATCAGAGGTATGGAAGGGGAGTGAACTGATGATTCTTGGGGAAAAGGGGAGAGGGGGATGTGGGAAGAGACTGAACATAAACTGTGCACCTATGGATAAGGACAATGGGGAGTGGGGAAAGGGCATAGGGTGGGATGGGAACCTGGTGGAGGAGAGCAATGGTGGGTGGGGGGGAGGGAGGAACATTTGTAATAATATGAACAATAAAAATTTATTAAAAAAAAAAAAAAAAAAGAAAAAGGAAAAGAAAAAAAAAGTATTAAGGCTACAAAGGTAGAGACTGAGTACAATGAAAACTACAAGCAGTGCTTTCCCATTACAACCACCTTTAATTGAATTCATAACATTCCTATGTAATTCATCCTAGGACAGATTATTTGCTAGCCATCAGCAGACCTCTGTTGTCTTAGAAATCGGATTTAAGTTAGTGGTTTATATTTTTATTAAAATAGAATGGCTTTTCAGTACCAGAAGGAGAAATCTTCTCTTACCTCCAACTGTATATCAAGACCCTCCACTGGAGTAGTTAAGGAACTGAGGTTAGGTAGAACCTGCTCACAGAAGTAAGTCACAAACCTTGTGGAATGCACATTTTTCTGTAAAAAAACAAAAAATAACGAGTTGTCAAAAAAGGGAGACATATCCTCTCAAATAAAACAGAATGTCATTCCCTAAATGCTAACATCAAGCACTGAGGCTACAAATACAATGCAGTGCACACCCCGGAGCACCCCAGGAATAAATCTTTGTTTTTTTAAATCCTCACTTTGTTTTTATTGATTTTTTGAGGGGGGGGTGGGCAATGCAAGAAATATCAATTGGCTGCTTCCTGTACGAGCCCCCGCCAGGATTTAACCAGCAATCTTTTGGTTCACAGAATGACACTCCGACCAACCCTCCAACCAACCGAGCCACTCAGGCAGGGCAACATCCATACATCTTTTAACTGTTGCAAATTTTGGGGAAGATTTTAGTGTTGAACTTCAGATTGTACATTTTCGCAAAGGATAGATCCTTTCAACTTTTTTTTTTTTTTTTTTTTAAACTATGGTTTGCACATCCCAGAACACTGATGGCTAGAAATAGCACAAAGCCAGAGATGAAGAGCATATATACTTAGAACAATCTGTTAGAAATTTTAAGAAAAAAGCTTAAATTTCTAAAGCAAGTATTTTAGAAACTCAGCCAAATTATAATTTATTATGCAAAATTCTTAAGACTTTAAAAGTCTCTTAGAAAGACTTTAAAGAAACTTCTTGCTGCTTTGATCTCTCACCAACCCTACTCAAGCCCCCATAAACTAAATATTGATTCCACTATGTTACTTTTATGCAAAGGTTTGAAGAGAATGCTCGAGTGAATATCTATAGAAATATAAGCTGCCCAGCCAGTGTGGCTCAGTGGTTGAGTATCGACCTAGGAACCAGGTCACATTTGAATTCTAGGTCAGGGCACATGCCCGGGATTGTGGACTCAATCTCCAGTGTGGGGTCATCACTGATGTTTCTCTCTCTCCCTCCCTCTCTAAAATCAATAAAAATCTAGTTAAAAAAAGAAAAAATATAAGCTAACAGAGTAATAAAAATAGCATCTATGTAAAACAAAGAGCTTACAGAGAAGAGGGGTACCGCCTGCCGAGTGCACTGTAAGAGCCTGTCCACACAGTCAGGATCTGACGGGTTGAAGGTTTGTTCCAGATCAGCCTGTTCAGCCACCAACTCTACAAGTTGCTGCCTTCCACTCACTGTCTGTAAGCTCTTTAACCCAGACAGTATCTTCATGAACAAGACAAATTCTTCACCAGTCACATCTTCTAGGACCTGGAAAGAGATAGTAATTAAAAATAAGTGTCTTGCTGGGACCGGTTTGGCTCAATGGATAGAGCGTCGGCTTGGGGACTGAAGGGCCCTGGGTTCGATTCCTGTCAAGGGCATGTACCTTGGTTGCGTGCATATCCCTGGTGGGGGGTGTGCAGGAGGCAGCTGATCGATGACTCTCTCATTGATGTTTCTAGCTCTCTGTCTCTCTCCCTTCCTCTCTGTACAAAAATCAATAAAATAAATATATATATATATAAAAAATAAGTGTCTTCACCACTCAAATGGAAAAAATCAATATTAAAGCAGTGTAACATTTATTTCAGTTACTAAAGTCAGTTTGCTCTTAATGTTTCTGAAATACTAATAAGACTATAACTTCTAGCTTCAGTCAATTTAACTTCAGAGGCCCGTTATCAATACTAGAGGCCTGATGCACGAAATTCATGCAAAAATAGGCCTTCCTTCCTTTGGCTGCTGGCACTGGCTTCCCTCTGGCTGCAGGCGGGTACCCAGGGTTCCCTCGGAGTCCCAGCTTCATCCAGAGGACGTCCAGTCTAATTAGCATATTATACTTCTGTTATTATAGACGGGGCACAATGTTGTCTCCAATTCTTGGAAATTTTTAATTTTTTATGTCTAAAGCACAAATTTACATACAGTAAATAAAAAGATATACAGTATATCTGTGGAATTAAAAATGCCTGGAAGGGTAGCGAAGGAAAAAATAAGTCTAAAAAGGCTCTTTTGGGAGTGACAGCAAAATAGAGATTGAGAAATTTTGTAGTAAATCAGATGCAGTTTCCTATATTTAAAAGCAGCTTCATTCACACTAATGTGGTAATTGCATATAAAATAGAAGACATATTCCACCAGATTATTGGTTGGAGCATAGGTAAAATATGCTGACATTCCCAGCTGAATAACTGCTCCCTTTTCTCTCATTGAAGAAATCTTATTAATAAGCAAGTGAATTTTGGAATTTTCCTAAACATATAAAAAAGTAAACTATTCCCTAATTTTTGCACTTCATAAGTGAAAATTACTTGTGACACATCTTGATAATCTCAGCATCTATACTTATGCTAGATCTGGGGGCACACTCTTGAAGACCTTAGTGTGTCATGGGGTAGAACAAAAAAAATAGGTCATTTCAATGTGATTTCATTTTTATTTTGAAACTATCCAGAATACTGAGAGATTATCCTAAGACGGGTGGGAATTAGGTAAAATTTCCTGAAGGAGTTCATCTGTAGACTCCTGGAAAATGTATACATTTTGAGTTTAGCAACCACAAAGGATTTAAATGTGATCACATCCCTTTAAATTAACATACATTCATCATTATAAGCAAGCAAAATACAATATAAGAAAAGCTTGAAATTCTACAATGGTTCTAGTGAGGTATGTCATTTTATATACATTGATGAATACTGCTAAATTCAAATACGTGCTTTTGCTTTAGAAAAGTTCTATTGAATGATGACTGAAGCTTACCTTTTTGGATTCTGTTAGAATAAGTTCCTCTACTTCCTTTGTTAAGACTTCATCTGGTAAAGTCTTAAGTTTTGTAGAAAGGAATTTGATGGCTCGTTCTCTAACAATGTCTTCTCCTTGAAGGATTTGGCTGAATAAGCCACCTAAAGTTCCTGCAACATAAAATAGTTTTGTGTAGTAAGTTAATTCTATATCATAATGAAGTTTTAAAATATAACTCAGTTTACAGTATTTCTTCTCAAGTGAGTTAACAAACATCCTGAGTATCATTGATACTGGTTAAATTAGTATGAAGTTTTACAGCTCCAACTTAAAGAGTGATCACATGGTTTCTTCATGGATTCAGTTAGACTGAGCATGACTTACCTTTTAAAAAAATATTTATATTGGTTTCAGAGATGAAGGGAGAGGGAGATAGAAACATCAATGATAAGAATCACTGATTGGCTGCCTCCTGCACACCCCCTACTGAGGAAATGAGTCTGAAACACAGGCATATGCCCTGACCTCCTGGTTCAAAACCACTGAGCCACACCAGGTGGGATCATTACTAATTCTATATAATAAAGATGTAATATGCAAATAACAGTAGTGGCGTAACAACTGACCGTGTAACGACCAGATATCCTATCAGGAGGGTGGGGCAGTGAGTTACAAGAGGGCAGCAGAGAGCTACAGGAGGGGGCAGGGCAGCAAGCTATGGGAAGGGGGCAGGGGGAGCTACAGGAGGGTGGGCAGTGGTGGAGAGCTACAGGAGGGCAGCTACTGGCTACAAGCGGGCATCAGAGGGCTACAGGAGGGGGCAGGGCAGCAAGCTATGGTGGGTTGAGGGAGCAACAGGCGGGCGAGGCAGCAGGTGGAGAGCTACTGGCGAACAGATTCATGCACAGAGCTACTAGTAATAAATAAAACAGGCATTTTGGAACTGCTTTTGCAATTATTTCTGCTGGGTTTTCAACTCATAAACCTCTTGAGCGAAATAGCTTTTTAAAAAGAACACAATATTTTTATGAAATAGATATGTGGGTGAATTCCAGACTTTATCCTTTGTGAACTGTGCCAAACTCCCCAATTTTTAAGACATCAGACTAAGAAGAACAATTCAAAACAAGAAGTGGCCTTACCTTTTGCGTCCATCTTAAATATACTTAACAGGGCATTGTTCACTAAGTTAAATTCTGCAGAGTCATCTACAAAAAGTGGCACAATGCATAAAATAAGTGAAAAATATCATCTGCTTCATTTCAAACTTAAGATTTAACATAGATTCTCATAGATTACATTGAGACACGTAATTTAAGTAATTCTCTTAAGTACTGAGAAAATACATCTTCCTTAAAAAGGGAGAGAACCTGATATAGCATGCCTGGAAAGGTTTTATATTAAGATCATACAATTATGAAATTATAGGAAACTGGAGGGAAGGGGATCATGATGCATCAAAATCCCCTAAGAATCTAGTAATTTTGACTTTATAAATAGAATTAAACACACAAAAAAACACCTCACTAGAAATTAGATAATCACAAGTCATTAAGTTTCAAACTATTAAATACAAGAGAATTTTATTTTTTTTAAAAGCTAAAAAGAGTCATCTCAGTGAGAAGTTACATATATTTAAATTACAGATTTAAATGAATTTATCTTTGTCTTAAATCTTCATTGTTGAAAGTATTACATATGTTCCCCTCTCTGCCCATTGACCCCTTCTAGCCTGGAGTAGTTATATTCATTAAAAGGTTAATGTTAATGTTCCTTACCTGTTTGCAAAAGTTGGGTTAGAATATCTGCCACTCGGGGAAGATTTTCTCCAGTGGCAAATTGAGGAAGCTCTTTAATTGCTTGCCGTCGAATCTGGATATAATTTCAAACAAAAATTTAACCAAATACTATATCAATAAAAACAACAAATCCAATCTTTAAAGAAAACTAAAACCATAGAAAAACGATAATTAGGGGGCAGATGAGTCACAAAAATATAAAACATGAAAATTCTAGCAGTTTCAGAAATAATTTGCTTCAATTTAACACTCAAGTTTCACAGAATAACTAAAATAAAATGTGGTGGGAAGGGACATTAAATATGATTGACTGGAGTAGACAGATTTGAGATTATAAAACATGGTTTATATATTGATTATATACAACTGTTTTTTTTTTTTTGTTTTGTTTTGTTTTTTTTTTAAGAGCACATAATATGTATCCCTTAAGAAAGCCTACAGTGGCAATGTCAGATCTTGTAACTATTTACTTTTCAATATTTGGTATTGACTATTTAATATACATTTGTGAGTATTTTATGTATTTAACTCCAAATATGAAGTCTTGGCTTATTTAATTTAACATAAAAATGTATGGGAGGTAAAGCTAACAAATTCTGCATGACATGTTGTTAATTCACAAATTTCATCTGAAAGTCATGAATAGCTGAAAATTCTCAGGAACCTATATCAGCAGCCAGAAATGCTAACAGCTAATTCTTCTTATTCTAGTTATCATATACAATTATTACACTTATCAAATATTTTTCTGCTATGAAAAATATTTAGGGTTGTTGAAACTATGTTTATGATGTAATACTACTAATACTTTAAATATCTAAGGTAAGCATAAATTGATTGAAAACTAACATTATTCTGATTTCATATGCACAGTGTATAATGATTTATAAAATAATGGCCACAACCCATTTTTAACAAATAAGCAAAACAAAGTATCTTGTAATTCTATGCATTTTTCACAGTTGGAAGGTGGTGAAAGAGCAAATATATTTTCTCAAATGTAGAGAAATAGTCTGACATTATGCCAAGTTAAATTGCAGTATTTTATTGGGCACTGATATGATTGGTACTTAAGTATATTAACTACGCACATACAATGTCTGGAAATGGTAACATCTGAAAACTTGTTGAAAAGCATCAATCATAAACTTACTGATACATCTTCATCCTCACAGAGGTCTAACTGTGCATTGATAGCAGAATCAGCCAATTCTGGAAAATGCTTAAAGAATTTTGGAATAAACTGAGCTGCTAATCTTTTTTCCTTGGTACCACCTTTCACACCATCCAATATCACTTGATAGGCATCTTTATGCTGAAAGAATAAAGCAGAAAAGAAACACAATTCTGAATGATGAAAAGCTAAACAAACTTGTTTCAATCTAAATTAGTAAAATTTTACAAAGGCTAAGCTTAGAATAGGGCTTATTTTGGTGTGTTACTGCCTAAAATGGACACCTACCTTCCTACCATCTGTTCTCTGCCCACGAGTTACTTTGTGAGTAGGGAAAGAGAGAAGGATGATACTAATTTTAAGTGGAAAAAGCAACTAAGCTTGTCGATGTACCAACACTTCTTCATCCTAGTGATTATTGACCCCAGCCTGTGACTGTATCATTCTTTAAAAATTGTAATGAATCTGGTAGAATCCTCAAAGAATTGTGTTACATGTGTTTAAATATATTTGTTTCCAATTAGCACTTTAAAGCAGGTGTGGAGAATACATTCCTGAAATTAAGCGCTACCACAAAGGTTAGAAAGCTTTACTTTGCCTCATATTTTAGAATATGAAAATAATCATTCTAGATAGCCAGCCAATTTTGGATTAAGAAAGACTCTAATGTCATGTATTTAACTTTTTAAAAAATATACATACTTTATTGAATTTTTTTACAGAGGAAGGGAAAGGAAGAGAGGGAGAGCTAGAAACATCAATCAACTGCCTCCTGCACACTCCTCACTGGTTATGTGTCCGCAACCAAGGTACATGCCCTTGACTGGAATCGAACCTGGGACCCTTCAGAAAGCTGTCTGACACTATCCACTGAGCCAAACCAGCTAGGGCAAGGAAACTTAAGTCTTGACTGTAAATCTAAGTTAACTTGAAAATCAGGCTTTGCTACACTAAGAATGAAAAAGTTTCTCTTTCCTTAAAAAACAACAACTGGCAAGCAGTGTCCCTTCCATTAAGTTGGCTCTTGCTTTTGTTAGTTAAAATTCACAAGCAGAATCCTAAAAGCCACCATCCTTTTTGGCTAAAGTTTTAGAGATTTTTTTTCCCCCCAAAAGGGATGAAGTATCACACGAGAGAATTTGTAAGCATTATGGCTTAGCTGATCTTTAGGTCCCTCAGAATTCACTTCATTATAAAGAGGTCTTTTTGTCTTTTTTTTTAAAAAAATAGATATTTTATTGATTTTTTTACAGAGAGGAAGGGAGACAGATAGAAAGCTAGAAACATCGATGAGAGAGAGACATCGACCAGCTGCCTCCTGCACACTCCCCACTGGAGATGTGCCCGCAATCAAGATACATGTCCTTGACCAGAATCGAACCTGGGACCCTTCAGTCCGCAGGCTAAAGCTCTTATCCACTGAGCCAAACCGGTTTCGGCATTGTCTTAAGCAGCTACTTGATAGCTGTCATTACAGTATCATGAAGGTACCGATCTCCCATAGCCAATAGGGAACTGTGCTAAAATTTTATTGCCCAGCACAGTGTCCGCTACATGGTAGGCACTCAAAAAATGTACTAAATAAATAAAATCGTGGGCCCTCAGTGAAGTCTGCAGGAAAGATGCCTTTTCTGCTTTTCACAAACTTATGGCTCCTAAGCACTCTTCCTAAATTAAAAGCAGATCTTTGCTTTGAGAAAGACATTTCTGACCTCTTGAGGGAGATCGATCTAATCTGGTAGTATTTATAATTAAAGATGCCACATGAGGGGAATGCAAGCAATTCTCCATTATCCATCATACTACACAGATAGATTCTAGTTTGGCTTTCATTTGCCCTATTGTACACTGTAAATAGGTGGCTGTCAACAGTTTTTCTATTCCAGCAAAAGGGTGGGAATAGCCAAGATCTGGAACAAGTCCCATCAGTGCATGAATGGAAAAAAAGCTGCAGTACATTTATTGCTGTAAAAAAGGAACTCTTAAATTTTGCAATAGCATGGATGGATCTGGAGAGCATTTATGCTAAGCGAAATAAGCCAGTCAGAGAAAGACAAAATACCGTATGATCTCACTAATGTATGGAACCTGATTAGCAAAATAAACTGACAAAATGGAATCGGGAGCCAGAAGAGAGGTGAGTGGAGGCGATTGGATAAAGAAGGTGAAGAGATTAGCTAAAAATAAATATATACAAATACTATGGACATGGATAATAGTGAGGTGAAGACCAAGGGATAGGAAGTGGGAGTGAGTGGAGGTGGGCAAGAGGGGGTGGGCAGGTGCAATAATCAACACTGCAAAATTTTAAAAAGATGAAGGTGAAAATATGGGACATCAATTTATGTACATGGTTTCAAAGTTTCCCTACAAGATTCCTGATCCACCTCTTTGGGAGAGCATCATATGCAAACCGACTGAGAATTACTGTAGTAGCTGATGTACAATTTTAGGTAGAAAAATCCTATTTAATAAAAAATCCTATTTAATAAAGACAGAATATGCTAATTAGACTAGCTGTCCTTCCGGACGACCTTCCGAAAAAAAGCCGGAGCTGCTAGGGAAAGCCCGGGTTCGGGTGTCTGCTGGCAGCCCAGCCGGGGAAGTCTTACTCTTGCACAAATTTCGCACATCAGGCCTCTAGTTTACTATAATCTTCACCAACTCAGCCACAGTGAATGAGAATATCTTCACTACCTCCTCTTTCCAGGAACAACAAAGTCGAACTATGATTGACCACAGTTTTCCCCACCTTTTCTTAATAGGCAGTTTCTCCTCCACAGCTGATCCATAACCTACACCTTATACACATCTACAACAGGCCGCTTACTTTTCTCAATAATGTCAAAATTCCCTACTGAAGCGGGAGGTATGTGGGGAAGGAAAATCATGATACCTGAAACTGTATCTTTATAATTCTTGATTAAGCTAAAATAAGGTTCCAGCATCTTCCCCTCGTCGGCTCAGAAATGACACATGTCCAGGAGAAGGGACCGGGAGGGGGCGGTACCGCAGCTCAGCTAACGGTAGTGGCTCCAGGATCGTCCACTTCCTACTTCCCATTTAGTCCCAAGCACCGAAAACACAGACGGCGTGGGATTTCGGACAAAAAACGGTCAAGATCACCCTCCGGGAGAACCTGGTTCTTTTCCCAACAAAACACAGGCACACGCCCAGCAAGCGACTCCTCCACGTCCCCGCCCTCCCGGGGCTGAGAAACTCACAAACAGGCCAAGGGGGGTGCGGACAAACACCCTCCTCCAACTGCTTGGGGCAAACAAACGCAGCAGACAGACCTGCCGCCGACACCTCTATTTATAACGCAGCCCTCTCCTTCCCCCGCCCTCTGCCCGTTACTTTACAACCCTTTTCATTAAAAACAACAACAAAAAAACCTATCTTCCTTACTGATTCCTCACTACTCTCCCTCTGTAAGAATACATCCCGGCAGAGCGCCGGCCGGTCCATCTGGTACCTGCAGCTCCCGGCACAGCGTCCCGGTGGGTGGTAGGCGCTCAAATCAGGTCCCAAATAAATGAAACCCCAAGCCCTCACTCCAGTCCGGGCGAAAGGCTCATTTCCTTTCCTTTTTTTTTTTTTTTTTTTTTTTGCCCCGTACAAACTTCTGTCTCCTAAATGAAGAGCATGTTTTTACCCCAAGAAAGACATGTCTGACCTCTGGAGAACTCTCCATCTAGCCTTGGGAGGGACTGAGCTCCACCGGGAAGGAGGAGGGAGACAGGCGCGGGAGAAGAACTACCGGGAGGCCGAGCTAGAAGGCGCCACGGGGAGGACAGGCTGCCCCAGGGAGGCGGAGCGGGGCCGCCGGGTCCGCACTCCCAGACCAGGGCCCACCGCGGCGAAACAGCCGGGGCCGCCGGGCACTCGCGGGACGGCGCAGCGCGGTCCCTCCCCCCCAACCCCGCCCGGCCCGGCCCGGCCCGGCCCGGCCCCGGGAGCGCTCCCGAAAGGCCGCGGAGCGCAGGGCCCTGCAGGCCGCTCGGGGACTTACCTGGCCCACTTGCTCCGTGGCATCGGCTAGGATGCCGTAGTTGCGGTAGAGCTCCTCCACCGTCGGCATGGCGGGCGACAAGCCGAGGGCTCGCTCCTGCGGTCGTCGTTGTCCTCGCCGGGCTCCACCGCCGCCCCCGAAGTTCCTACCCCGAGCCCGCGAGCCGCGCTATGAAGCCTCCAGCAGCCGCCAGCACCGCCTCTGGTCGCCGCGCACGGGGAGGCTCCGCCCCCAACGCATACGTAATGACGTGCGCGCGTCGGGAGCGGCCTTAGTGACAGCGAGCGCGCAGCCTGGGGTTTCACTGCCCTCTAACGCTCGGAGGTGCAAAAGGCGGTAAGCACGGTGCCCGTGGGGAGCAGTGAGCCTGCCTAAGAAGCTTTTTGGTTTTGAGGGCGGGAAAAGTGATCTTAACGGGAGAAAAATAGAATGAGGGGAGGAGTTAATTTTGTTAATTAGATTCCACTAATTAACTTAATTAGATCTCAAGCTGTATGAGATAAGTCATAAACTCTATTTCCTCCTGACTCAAGAAAGATAACAAATCTCTAGCAATAGGAGGCAGTGGGTTCAGTTTTATTGATGAATGAATGAGAAACCAAATGCTGTTAAAAAAGTAAATAAATAAAAACTATGTCCATCCATCTAAACAAATCTCGAGGTGAAGTTTAGCCTGCTGGAAAAGTTCGTTTATTTTTGCTTGCTTCCAGAGTAAAGTTAGGGCCATTTGATTGTCTCTAATTGTAAGAGGGTAACAAATACATGAAACTAGATGCACTTACTGATAAGAGTCTCTAAAATACAAGTTTAAAATTTAAAAATGGAAGCTGTAAAAACAGGTATAAAATAATCACTATGTAAACAAATGACTAATAAAAATAAAACAGCCAGTTATTTTATCAGAAAAATAGATTAATTTGGGAATAGCAGAGGATAAGCAAACTGTAGCAAAAAACCATAGGCAAGTTCAACAAAGGAGAGGACCATTATCCTATAGAGAAAAAGGAGGAAATTGGAAGAGGCTGTTTTAAATGAAAGTCTATTGGAGGAAAGCAAAGGTCAGGTGGTGATGGTTTCTAATTGGCTGTTGTGGGGAAGGAAAGAAATCTTCCATTCTGCTGGGTAGTAAAGTAGTAAAAATGCATTTATTTCTTGCACAAAATTAATTTTCACAAAAACAAAAGCATACAAAACAAAGTTATGCGCATATGTGTAAAAGAATGCTAACATTAAATCTCAATTTTAAACATGAACCTTTAAAAGGTGGTAAATTTCAAAGCCAGACCCACTTGTGCAGAAATATATGCAGGAAATGGTTGCAAAACAGATCCCCTATCCTTGTACTCCTCAGTCAGATTGAAGATATTAAAAAGGATTAGAAGGAGAGGATAGATGAGCCTTCCTTCTTTTTCTCCTTTCTTCTTCCTCCCCCTCCCCCTCCTCCTCCTCCTTCTCCTCCTCCTCCTCCTCCTCCTCCTCCTCCTCCTCCTCCTCCTCCTCCTCCTCCTCCTCCTCCTCCTCCTCCTCCTCCTCCTCCTCTTCTTCTTCTTCTTCTTCTTCTTCTTCTTCTTCTTCTTCTTCTTTTTCTTCTTCTTCTCTTGAGAGAGAGATGCTCTGCTTGTGAGTAGCTTGAGGCAATTATTACCTCCTTTCCCCAAGTCCTAGGAGCACTCTGAGGAGCCTGAAATGTGGTTCCTGTAGTGGGAGACATAAAAGTCTGGTTCCTGACATGCATCAAAAAGCTTGTTACCTGTGGCAGCGGAGTGCCGGAATCCATGGGATTTGCATGTGTGTTCTTTAGCTAATCCTTTCACCTTCTTTATTCAATCACCCCACCCACCTCCCATCTGGCTCCCGAAAGTTTGTTCCATGTATCTGTGCTTCTGGTTCCTTTTTGTTTGTCAGTTTATTTTGTTAATTAGATTCCACATATTAGTGAAACCACAGTTTTTTAATTCACTTAGTGTTTTTGGCACAAGATCTTCCAGATCTTGGCTATTGTAAATAACGCTGCTATGAATATAGGGGTGCATATATTCTTTCTGATCGGTGTGCCTTGTTTTACTTATTTGGCAATGTATTTTATAGATCTTTCAACAACAGTATTGCCTAGTATCAATGCCCCATTGTTGATTTATCCATTTATTTTTGGACATGTTGGTTGTTTCCTATTTTTCTTTAGTATAAACTCCAATAAATGGGTGATTTTATTTCCTACTTTGTGCTTTTCTGAAGTGTCCAGCTTTTCTATAGTGACTTCTGTCATTTTATTTATATTGTCTTTCCTTGCCATTGGATCTGTGAGTGAGTCCAGAGGTTGTTTTCTCAAGGTCCCTTTATTCTTATAAGGCAAAATTAAGTCCCAGAAAAGAAAATAATGGACTGCCTAGCTTAGGTCACATGTCTGCTGTGGTACAATCAGTTAAGACAGGAAAGCAAGTCAAACAAAGCAAACTTGGCTGCTGGGGCCCATATATACAGATGAAAGAGAGTGGGGTGGGTCCCAGAGAATGTTTGAAGGCCACCTGAATTCCATTCTACCAAGCTGCATGCTTGAGTGGGGGCTATGTTTGGCTCTTTATTCAACAAGTATTTACTGAACACCTCCTATGAGCTTTATTATGCAGCCAAGCCAAGAAAGCATGAAGCTCACATTCTGGTAGAGGGAGAGTAATCATAAACAAAATGCACAAGTAAAACACATTTGGCTTACAAAAGTAAAGCAACAATGTCAACAAACACAGTACAACCAGCCGATAGAAAGATTTCATATACTGACACTGTGGTATGTGATTGGTGTCATGATCTGGAATCAGCCTTAAGATCTGGGAAGTCACTTCCCTTTTATTGTCCTGCTATAGCACTATTTTTTTCCCTAGCCTGAATTGCAATTGTTTGTGTATCCCACCACTAGCTAATAAAACTTGATGATCAAAGCCTAGACAGTTTGGCTCAGTGGATAGAGTGTTGGCCTGCAGACTGAAGGATTCGATTCCAGTCAAGGGCACATGCCTGGGTTGCAGGCTCAGTCCCCAGTAAGGGAGTGCAGGAAGCAGCCAATTAATGATTTTCTCTCATCATTGATGTTTCTATTGCTCTCTCCCTCTCCCTTCCTCTCTGAAATCAATAAAAAGAGGCCTGGTGCACAAAATTTGTGCACTCGGGCTGGGGGTGTCTTTCTGCCCAGCCTGTGCTCTCTCGCAGTCTGACATCCTTAGCGTTGCTGTAGAGGCATGAGCCTGGCTTATGGCTGAGCAGCTCTCTCCCTGTGGGAGCACACTGGCCACCAGGGCAGCTCCTGTGTTGAGCGTTTGCTCCCAGGTGGTCAGTGCACGTCATAGTGACCAGTTGTTCAGCCATTTGGTCGATTTTCATATTAGCCTTTTATTATATAAGATATATAAAGATCAAGAACTATTATTCGTGGTAAACAAATTTAAATTAATAAAGGCATGAACTAAGGGATAAACAAATAAATCCAAACTTTTCTGACAGCTTATTAGAGTATGGCAAAAGCTCTTTTTGTCAGAAGGAATTTTTTTTTTTAACCTTGGTTTTATTTTTATTGGTTATGTTCAGGAAAATGGTTATTTTCAGGAAAACCATTCCCTCTTTCTTATTACTCTCCCTTCCCCAACCTACCTAACAATCAGTGGCTTCTGTTGTGATATTTCAAGTGCTGTGACTATCTTTGAATCTATTTATTTTGCAATCTTGAAATTGGGTTTAATTGTCTATTAAATATATGGTGAAAGGCTCAAAGTGCCAACCCCTCCCCTGCCATTACTTTACATGCCTTGTACTTTGGATCAATCTTAGAGCCTACACTCTGAGAGCTGTTATTTTAATCCAATTTCTGTCTTCCAAGGAGGCCTTTTTAATTCTAGCAGAAAAAAAAAGATCATGACTCTAAAAAATAATCAAAGAAAGATTAAGGTCTAGCTGGGTCTTAATTGAACTAATGATAATAATAGCAAATATCCATTGAGTGTTTGCTGTGTGTCTAACAGCATGTGTGTTAGAGGAATAGTTAACCCTTATGCAGAGGCTGCTAGCTGCCAAGCTTGACCCTAAATGCTTCACAGTCTTTAATTCACAACCACCTTCTGTGAGACCAGTTATTGCACTATCCCCATTTAAGAGATAGAAAATCCAAGGCACAGAAAGGTTAAGGACTTGACCAGGGTCACACAGGTGGTGAGTAGAGGCTTTGGAGTGCATATCCAGGTGGTCTGGCTTGGATGGCTGCACCCCTAACTACTTCTTGGTTCAATGTTTTTCTTAGATGTGTTATCTTTGCAGTCCCAATGTTCTTTATTCAAGCATAGCCAACTTCCTAACCAGTGGTGGCTCTCGAGCCTCGGTTTGCCGCTCTGTTGACAAATGGGTTTGCCGACCACTGGGATAGGGGCTTAATCATGAGGAACAACAACAGTAGCCTGTAATTATTGGAATCCAGAGTCTAATCTAATGTGGGCCTTGCCAAAAGAGATTTACATACTTATTGGTGGAATCTACTTCATAAGATTATTGTGAAGATAAAACAAAATACTAGAGGTCAGTGCATAGGACAGCGCCTGGGCCATAGTAAGGCGCCAGTCAATGTTAGCTCCCTTCTCTAATACTAACTTACCTTAATCACATGTATTTAAAAAAATGAGTGACCCTTGGTCATTGCACGTTATTCTCTGGAGTTGGGTTTGCTCCCTCTGAATGTATCTCCCGTATCGGAAATAGTTTTCTGTGGCAGTCAACAAACTACCACAAACTTGGTGGCTTAAGACAACAGACATGGGTGTCTGTCGTCTATCAAATATCTCCTTTGTGTCTCTTATAAGAACATTTGTCGTGGGACTTAGGGCCCACCCAGATAATCTAGTTTGATCTTATCTGAAGATCCTTAACTTAATTGCATCTACAAAGAAACTTTCCCCCCCAAATAAGGTCACATCTCGAATCTGAGGATTAGAAAGTGGATACATCATTTTGGGGACCACCATTCAACCTGCCTCAAGGGATTAAGACCAGATGCTTGGGAGTCAGTCAGCGCTGGTTCTGGCTGTGCTCCT